AAGATGATCTCATCAGTGTTCGCTGTCAGAACATGAAGAATTAAAATTAGAAATTTTAACTTACGATGAGGTAGCTTATGTGGTTCAGTCCTGGAGTGGGGTACCAGTAAAAGCCCAGGAAGCCTACGTAACTTCAGATAAGTCAAAGCTCTTTCCTTGGAGCTCCCTGTCAGGAAGATGGGAGCCCAGAGACACTTCTCTCCCCACCCCACAGGCATCTCTTCCCTGGAACTCCCCTGGATAGCTCCCCACACATCTGGGGACAGTAAGAGCAATTTAGTGCCTTGAATTTTAAGGTTAAAATTTAAAAGGTATTATTTTACTTAGGAAGCATTTAAGTATAAAATGGTTGATTGATTAGTATTTTTAGTGCCCTGATTTGGAGTGTACAGGGTCAGGGGGGTGGGTGTGAGTGAGGGAAGGAGTAATGGCTCAGCACTATATTGTCATCTCCATCTACAGCTGACCAGCCCCCCTGGCTGGCTCCCCAGTCCACTTCCCACCACTGAAGTGTGATAGTTTGGAGTTTTATTGGTTACATACTCATCATCCTATTTGATTTTCATAACTGCTCTGTGATGGAAGGCAGGCTGATGTTATGATGTCCATTTTATATGAGGAAACTGAGTGTTCCTCATGCCCAGGGTTAATGCTAGTGAGGAATGTAGCTGATACTAAATTCCCAAGTTTTGTCAACACATCAACTATGGTTAATTTTTCTTATTACAGTGTGATGCATAAGAGGAAACAAGTAAAGCTTAATTTTATGATAACAGTAAGAATGTGGAGCATTTACAAAATACTGAGCTGGAGAGACTGGCTGAGTTTGAGGTCTCATACTGATGACTTGCAGATGCTCTTTCTATACAGTTTTGTCGAAGAAGAGGGGATCTTAGTGCTGCATGGTATTTTTAGGTTTGGTGGCTGTCATGAAATTTCCCTCCTGAAAAGTTTACACACCTGCCAAAAGTTCATTTGGTTTTTCAAATGAAACATAACATCTATGTCACACAGAGTTATGCCCTTTCAGTTGCGTTGCTTTGTAATCTCTTGAGAGCAGAGGCAAGCTGGCCCTGGTTCCCTGGGCACAACCTATGTACAGACCCACTCCTGTCATTTGCAGCGCCTGGGACAAGGCTGCAGAGGAGATGCTGGGCCCAGGCCAGCACTGGAGTGAGGCGAGTGAGGCAATGTTTTTTAATAGACGAGATCAGTAACAGTGCCGTTCTGAGTGATACTGGAGACAAAAGGAAAAATCAATAATATTGATCCCATCTTTATTACAATTTTTGATATTTTGTCCATTACAGACTTTTTGCATTCCTTTTCACTTTTTAACATATTGCATTAAATATTTATTTATCGTGGCTACTGAGTTTTTGGTGCCCCTCAATTATGCACCTATAGCAAGCGTCTCTTCACTTACCTCATGGTAGCCTCAGTCCCACCTTGGGCCTGGGGGTGCACAGATAGGGAACAGTGTCCACCCTCGCCATAGACCAGGGAAGAAGCCTGCACAGGCCCCCAAATTGCACCAGGGCTCTCAGGGCATGGAATTCCAGGGTTGTAGCTGTGTGAAGTGGGGGCGTGAGATATACAGGTGGACGCATGCCCGTGGGTCCCCAGGTTCCTTGCTCATGGAGAGGAGAGTGGTTGGAGGAGGGCCGAAGTGGAACCTCTGGAGAGTAATTCTCAGCACCAGAGTCTCTTGGAGGCCTGTGAAGATGAAGCTCGCTCAGATCCTGATACAGTAGGTCTGGAGTGGGGCCTTAGGAATGGGTCTCCATTTCTAAGGCGCAGGGGCCCCTTATTCCTGATGGGTTTCTGTGCGTGGGAATTAGGGAGCGGCTCGGCATTCTCGCCTAGATTTCCTTTTAGGTTTTTATCCAGCAGCATAGGCAGAATGTACCCTCCAGGGGAAAGAGTGCAGACTTTTCTGCTTTCCTGGCCAGTCTTATCTTTGTCACTGTTATTGATGGAGGTCTCTCCAGGATGCATGAGGGTGAATCATTGCTATAGATTTTATTTTCCCGTAAATTTCTTGCATGATGTATGGAAATGAGAGCTAGAGTATCTAATGGGAAGTAGCATTCCTAAGTACCTCTAGATTTTGTTTTTAAGTGTGTGTTTTAAAATGACATTATTTTAAACGTACATTTAAAAACGTTTAAATAATACTGTTTTTACCTATAAAGGAGAAGATTAAAATGTCTCATAAACCCTCCTCCCAAATGATCCCTGTTGATGATAATAGAATTAAAAGTTCAAAATAATGTAAAAGCCACCTTTCCATCCTCCTCTCTCTATTCCACTCCCTCTCTCTAATATTGATGTTTTGTTTTTTGTGTGTGTGTTTTTTCAGAAAAAAATGTATTCATGTCCTTCCTAATATTTTTATACAGGAATATCATATGGCAATATTGTCAGATATTTTGCCTCCTAAGTTAGTAGTGTATCTTGGACTTGTTTCCATCGGCAAATAACAGATTTACCTTAATCTTAAGTGGGTCATAGGATTCATCATTGGGATGTCCCAGTATTTACCTCGCCCTCCAATAAAGAACTCTTTGGTTCCAGGCTTTTGCTATGTGAACAACCCCGTAGTGAAGATTTTTGTCAGTATATGTGTCTTTGAAAACATGTTATGAGTCCAGCCATAGTTGTAATTCCTAGTAGTGGGGTTGTTGGACAAAGGGTGTGTGCACTTTTAGGTTTGAAGGCATTGCCTTCCAGAAGGGTTCACCCCTATCAACAGTGATGGGCATACCTGTTTGCCCAATGTTCTTGCCCACATGGGTATCATACAAGTAAAAAGAAAAACATTATATTATTCTAATAGCAATGCAATATAAAATAAGTAGGAATAAACTTGATAATTGTTCAATATCTAGGTGAAGAAAGCTTTAATGTGCACATAAGGGACCAAAAAAAAAAGCCTTGAATAAACAAAAATTATGCCATGTTCTTGGATGGGTACTTGTAGCCTGATGAAAATATTCATTCTCCTTTAGCTAAGCTATAATTTGAACTTGATCCAATAAAAATATCAACAGGATTTTTTTGAGGGAGAATTTGATTAGCTGGTTTTAAGACCAATTGAAAAAAAATACGTAAGAATAGATAGGAATATTCAGATAATGAACAGGAAGATAGGAAAATTCAGGAAATAGCCTGAGCAGATATTAAAACTAATATGAAACGAAAATTATTAAAATGGGTTAATGAATCACAGTCATAAACTTAAATATATTCAGGAATATAATATATGATAAAGGTGGCATCTCAAATCAATGAGGAAAAATGTGTAAACCTTGGGGGGGGAATGTTTAATTCATATTGCATACATTCCAAATGGATCAAAAATGTACATGCAAAAATGTGAAATATGTACTGTAAGATATCACAGGAGAATTATTTTATAATTCCAGATCTCTCTGCTATAACGTAAAACTCAGAAGTGGTTGAAGACAAGATTGATAAATTCAACTTCATAAGAAAAATTCATGACAAAACCCCAGCTTATATGCAAAGTTAAAGACAACAAATTGGGGAAAGATATTTGTAATGGGTATCACAACTGAGGACTATATTTCCTAATATATAAAGAGTTTCTACAAACCATTAGAAAAAAAGGGGGGCTATAACTCAATAGAAGATTGGGTAAAGATAAGAACTGTTCACAGAAAAGGCAAGAAAGATAGTATTTAATCATGAAATGTTTAATTAAAAAATACAAATTGCATAATAAGAGGAATATAAATGAACACCTCACTATGAGATTAGCCAGTGATTGTATAGCACTGATGAGAGGTAAATCTGTGCTACTCTGTGGAGGAAATCTGGCAATAACTGAAGATATTACAATGCATTTATCTTTAGCTCAGCAATTCCACACCTAGGAATTTACTTTTATATGTACTATATGAGCTATATTTTTCATTGCAGCATTACTTATAAAAACAACAGTTTGAATAATCTCTGGTCCATCACACTATGGTACCCTGTGCACCTTTAAAAAGAATGAGGAAAAATTCTCTCTACTACTGTTGAATGGATTCTAAGAAAAGTGTACTGATAACTGATTAAAAAATGATTAAAAGTGAGGTGCATTGTTATACTACCATTTGTGTAAAAAGGGAGGGCGATATATAGACATATTTACTTGTATGAATTCGGTGATCGTTAAGGTGTATATAAAAATGGATAATACATATGTAATACCTTAATAAAGAAATTTAAAAAAATTAAAAAAAGGATAATATTGCTTGCCTGTAGGGAAAAAGCCTGAGAGGCAGAGGACAGGGCTGGGATGTAGTTTTCACTGCATATATGCTTGTACCTTTTGAATTTTGAATCTTGTCCTTAAAATTTTTTTATCTAAATTTTAAAAAGTGAAAATATTTGTTTTGACATGCATAGTTCTAATGTTTAGTTAATTTGGGTGTCTGCAAATAGTGATTGGCTTTTTATTTTTTTTAAGCAATTGCCTATTCATATACTTTGCCCATTTCTCTTCTTTTTTTTTTTTTTTTTTTGAGAGGGGAGTGGTTTCTTTGCACATCAAGGGAATCACCTCGTTGTCTTAAATATCACAGAAATTTTCTTCCAGTTTATCTTTTGAATTGTTTATGCTGCTGTTTGCCACCTGGCAATTTCATATTTGCATGCAGCTGTCACCTCCACCTCCTCCTCCTCCTTCTCCTTCTGCCCTTTCTTTTTTATTTTTTGAGAGTGTGGAAATGACATTTTCAAGGTAATCTCTGACAAAAATTGACTTTAGATTTAAAACATCCAATTACCAATGTTTCTGGATGAGCTGGAAAATAGTCTGCTGCGTATAAGTCCTCTTTGAAGACAGTAGTTAAGACACGAAAAAACTCATTTTTTAACAAGAGGTGACCTACAGGCCCCAGGAAAGGGCAAAGGGAGAGGGACTTGGATGGGGCCAGGCAGGGGGTTTTGGTGGGTCTCTGATGAGCCTTTCCTCTCTCCACTCCCAGCCGAGCTCCCGCGGTCCTCAGCAGTGAGGCTGGCCTCCCTGCGAGACCTGCCCGCCCAGCTCCTGGAGCTGTACCAGCAGGGCTTCTTGCTGGTGGCCCTGCATCCTTTCGTGCAACCAACCCACAAGCAGGAGAAGACACCCCTGGAGCACATCTTCAGGGCCATCCTGATCAAGAAAACCGACAGGTAAGGCCTCCAAGGTTGGATGGGGAACATCATGAGGTGGCTAATGTGTGTTGACAGGGCCTCTGCCCTCTGACAGGTAAGGCAAAACATTGACAACCAGAGAAAATTTCCTAGTGTCCTGCGACTGTCCATGCCTGACTGCTTACATAGAGGGTTCCATTTTACACCTTTTCCCTCCTTTAATTTATTGGATTAAACTCAGCTAGAAAAAAAGCATCTCCTGCAAAGAGGAGTACTTCCAGAACAGTTAAAGTACAGCCAGTTAAAGTATAATGCTATAATCCAGCGGTTCTCAACCTTTGGGTCGTGACCCCTTTGGGGGTCGAACGACCCTTTCACAGGAGTCACCTAAGACCATCGGAAAACACATATATAATTACATATTGTTTTTGTGATTAATCACTATGCTTTAATTATGTTCAATTTGTAACAATGAAAATACATCCTGCATATCAGATATTTACATTATAATTCATAACAGTAGCAAAATTACAGTTATGAAGTAGCAACGAAAATAATTTTATGGTTGGGGGTCACCACAACATGAGGAACTGTATTAAAGGGTCGCGGCATTAGGAAGGTTGAGAACCACTGCTATAATCTGAAAAGCATGGCTAGGAAAACACACTCATTGTTTTCGGCTACATACAAACTTAATGGTTTTTCCCCAAACCCTAGACCAGTGGTCGGCAAACTCATTAGTCAACAGAGCCAAATATCAACAGTACAGCGATTGAAGTTTCTTTTGAGAGCCAAATTTTTTAAACTTAAACTATATAGGTAGGTTCATTGTTATTAACTTAATTAGGGTACTCCTAAGGCTTAGGAAGAGCCACACTCAAGGGGCCAAAGAGCCGCATGTGGCTCGAGAGCCGCAGTTTGCCGACCACTGCTCTAGACATACTTGACCATTTTGAGCCCACCATAAATTCTGTCAATTTCTTAGGAGGAAAAACAAAACCCATCTGAATCTATTGCTGTAATTGATTTGGCTTTGATTTTGGTTTTCAAGGCTTTGAGGATGTTTCTCAGGATGGCTGGACCTGTTGAATGCTTCCTCTTATATTTTTATTGGGTCTAATTAGAAAAAGAGAGATGGAGATTGGTTTCTCAAAAGGAACCATAAATATTAATTTTAAATATATTTTTTTAAAACAAGGTGGGATAGAAAACACAGTATGTTTTTGCTGCTTTTGTAAAAAAAACAAAATTGAAATAAAGTCTGGCAGAGGGAAATGGATCTGTCCTTTGGCCATCTGTCATGGAATGACAACATGGACCATAGTTTAAAAGGAGGGAGAGTGCAGAGTAACTACTTCCTTTTTCTCTCTTTTCATAAGTTGGTTTGCCAGGTGGATAAACGTTGGGCTGGTGAGCTCAGGAGGACAGCCAGAGCGGGAGGCTGTGTGGCTAAGATGTGCTCCTCTTTGCTGCCAAGCGGAGTTCATTTCTTCACAGCTGATCAGGAGGGTTCTTAGTCTGAGCCAATGTGCATTAGAATTTGAAGTGAAAGATGACATACGCCTTTGCTAATGTCCAGAATTACCATGGTATTTGTAGAGTGAAACTTGTTTTTAACATCTGCCTTTTTGGCATATTTGTTTCTTTATGTTGATTGGCTGTGGATCAATATCTAGGTCAATCGCAAGAGGAAATGGTTCTGGGAGCCATGGTGGTTTCAGGTTCCACAAGAGACATGCACGATGACACTTATTGAGCATCTGCTGTGTGCCAGGCTTTTTGAGTGTCATTTCATCCTCATAATCAGCCTATGAAGTTAGATACTATTTTTATTTCCATTTTAAAGGTGAGGAAGCTAAGACCCAAACGTTGAGATATTTGTCAAGGTACCTAATGAGCTTACTTTCTAGAAGAGGAAAATGGGTCAAGCTATTAAGAAGAATGAAACACTAGTGTGCAGGAGGGTTTTCAAAAAAGAGAAGATGCATTCTCTGTGGGTTTGAGTTCACTCTAGTCCAGAGTGTCTAGCTACCCACCAGGATGACTATAATGAACATTCTAGACACAAGAAATTCCTTGTACAACTTTGTGCTGGGTCTTCTTTGAAACTGCCCCCCGCTTTGTTTTTGTTTTAAAGAAATTGCAAAAGCTTGGTAATTTTCCAAGTACGGTAATGAAAATGGCAATTTACCATTCTTACGGCAAAATGACCAAGAGAATTTGCCCACTTCCATTCCCTGTCAGTATTGTGTGGGAAGAGTGGGAAAGCAAGCATTTCATTATACAGTATAATTTTAAAGTACAGGCACTTTCTCTCCTCACAAATGCAATAACTATGTTTTTGCATCATGAGAAAAATACCCCACACTATTAAACTTAAACAATCAAAAAGTCCCACAACAGAACCTTTTCTTCAGGGAGTTTAGTAGAAACAAAACAAAATAAATCTTATGTGATTAATTTTTAATACAGACAGTTAAGATGATATTTTTCACGAAGTCTGCCAAAGTTCTGACAGCTGTAGATGCTGTTAAATGAAATGATTTCACTCTCCAAGAGGAAGTAAATGCCTGGTTAATGTGTTGTAAGTAGACCGCATTGAAAGAGGTGTAGATAAACTTTCTAGATTACTGTCAGTCCAGATCAAGTTCATTAGCGAGAATCACCATGGGATGACTACTCGAAACTTGGATATCAACTTTAATGTGTTTGAAAGGTGAACATAAAGTTTTTGGCAAATAACTAGGTTTTAGGGTCTACAGCAAGACCAGGAAAAAAAACAAAACCATGCAAGCTTACATTCATTCATTCACACTTACTGAGCTTGTATTCTTTGTAAGGGGCATGCTAGGAGCTCTACGTCATGGGACGCCGGCAGGCACAGGTTCAAGGTTCACCTGCGTATGGAGCCTGCCTTCCAGGCATCTACAGTTTAACTGAGAAAATAAGGCATCATACCGTGGGAGTCTGGGAAAAGGAGAAGTCACCTCCTGCTGGAAAGGAAACTAAGGAAATGTCTCTGGACGAAGTAGCTTTTCATTTGGACCTGGTTTCTTTCGGGCAAACAGGAATAATGCCCATGTGGAGGGAGGATTTTATTTGTCTTATAATGAAATGTTTTCTAGTGGAGTTTGGGTAATTTGAGAGCATCATTGACAGTCTAACTGGATTATTAATGAGTCATTCCCAAAGCTCGGTACAATAACATTTCCCTGAGCCCTCTATCATTTTGACAAATTTCACTTAAATCTATGAAAAATTGTCTGATCCTTTCTTTTGAAAATTCTTACAAATGCCATTTCATTTTAGGATGGCAGGCCAAATCACACATCTAGTTATAAATTGTTCTTAATCCTAAGTGTGTTGAATTTAAAGTCAGTTACTTTGAAAACTGATTTCAAGAATGAATAGCCAAATGAGACACTTAGAATAAGTAGAGAGTTTGTACTTCCTTCTCTCTACTCTTTCTTTGGGACACAGAGTGATTTTTAACAGACAATATTATTGCATTTGCTCTGAATTCTAAATACAGTTAAGTTGTCCTTCAATTTTTTTTTTCCGGGCAGTTTTCCTTAGAATAAGTTGCCAAAGATCTCAAAACATGATGGCTAAGAGAAGTCGGTTATTAAAATGTCACTGCTGATGTTTCATGAGTGTGGGTTTAATTCTAGGTCACTGATGGTTGTAGACATAAGTACAAAAATGCTTTGTGCCGATTAATTTTTCAGCTGTTGAATTGTCATTGTTCACACATCGAGCTAGTACAAGGTGTCAGTGATGTGTTTTTCATCACGAATGGGTTGAAGTCATTAGAGTCCAGGTCCCCTGGAATAATACCTTATATGGTACAGAGGACCAGGACATTTGTCAGCTCTGTCGACATTTTGGCCTGGGGTCGGGGGGTGGGACACACAGCGGAACTGCAGCTAATGGAGAGGGTGAAGCCCTGTTGGGAGGCGGGAAAATGCATACAATCGAAGATGCCCTTGAAAATTTCTTTAATTGCCCATGAAATGTAATACCGTAGCATCTCTCTACCTGACCGATGCGTGTTTTCCTTCAGGACTAGACCAGATTGGTGTGTCCAACAATAAGCCCCGAGGGAAGTAAGTTGGTTGGGGTTTGTAGAGAGTGTTCCTTAGAATCACACCTGGGGGGCTGAGATGCTTGCACCCAGGGAGGTGTGTGTGGAAACTGAGACTGAGGAGACATCATCTCCACGCCTCCTGTCTCACATCCATTCTGGGACACATCTGCTGGCTGAGTAGAATAACTGGCACCGTTTTAAGTGGTAAATGTTCCTCCCGTTCAGTTAGATTTTTTCTAAGATAAACATGTGTGATGTAGCTTCACTAGGCAAAGATGATTCTAAAGAGCTCCCAGCTCTCAAGAAACTTATCTACTAGGGGAATGTAAAGTCTATATGCAAATTATGTGGGTCTCTGTTTTCTCTCATTTGGAATTTGCTCAAGGAGGGAGGAGGCGCCTCAGTTCCATCTGCTCTGGACTGGAGGGATGGGTAGATTTGAACAGAGCACAAGTGGTGAGACACTGGCCCTCGGGACGCTGGCCTAGGGGAGTCAGGAGCCTGGGAAAGTTGGCCATGGATGATGTGGGGCGACCGGAGCACGAGGTCTAGAGGGAAATGGGGAGAAGCATGGGGCCTGGATCCAGGAGTCCTCTGACAGGCGAGCTGAGGAGTTTGAACTCTATCCTAAAGGCACTGGGGAACCAGTGCAATATTTTTGTTTTGTTTTGTTTTGTTTTGTTTTGTTTTGGAGGAGCAACCATTAGAGGTGCTGAGTTTTCAAACGCTTAAGAGGGGAAGAAATGCAAGTTGAGAAAACATGGCGATAGTTATGGTGAGAGATGACCAGTAATTAGAGTAGGTTGTAGTAGAAAGCCAAGGAAGACAGATGTGAGATATGTCATAAGAGAAAATACTGGATTTAATGTTTAGCTGGAAAGGGACAGCATGGAGGAAGAAGACAAATCAAAATATGAGTCAGCTTTTGACTCCAAAAAACTGGGAGGATTAA